GAAACTGGCTTTGTACTGATCCCTTTTGTCATTATGAGAAGGTAGTTGTATGCAATAAACTTCATAGTAAATAACAGGAAATAATAATTCGAATTCAGCTCAAGTTATTGCTGATGAACTGTTAGAATCACTTAAACTCCAGGGAAGTCAGCTGAGAGAAGTCTTATCAAGGTACTGAAGCAAAGGACTGTTCATACAAAGAAAACAGTATCTTTCATGTCCAGCATGAACTATATGCTTGCTGCACTGAGTCTGGAGCTGATTAAATGTTTCAAGGATCAGGACACCAGCTATCCAAGGTTTTAAAGAAAGCAGGAACAGGAACAGCAGTCATGTTGATGATCAGTTTTCCTGGAAACTTCATGGTGTGCAGTGTAGACAGCAGAATGAATCATGGGGAAAGCACAGTGTGTAGGTTCCAGGAAGCAAAATTATTGAAGTCTAATGATTAATTATGACAGACACTCCTTCTGGGCACACCCCAGAGTTGCATAAGAGACCTGTTTTATAGTTTCTGGAGAAGAAACCCAAGTGTTTATTTCTGAACACAAAAGGCCATTTCTCACCCTTCATCATTCCTACTGCATTCAACTATGTTTCTCCTGATTCTACTCAACACTTACTTCCATATAACAAAATGGGTAGGAGCATGCACTCACACACAGACATGGTTGGTTCTTTTGAGAAACATTCATTCCTCACTGCCCCTGCCTCCCCAGTAACCACTAACCTCTCTTCCAGCATTTGCACATCTTAAACTTTCTTCACCCATCTTTCCCACCTTCAGTAAACATACCAAGGCACAATAATTCATTTACTTGCTCTGATTTTTCACCTGATAGGTATAACCTGCTATAATTCATGCCATTTCCTCTGTCAAGCTTTCAGTCCACGATGGATAATTAACATGGAAAAAAGAAAGGAGGCAATTCCCTGCAGTTACACATAGCTGTATTAATCTTGTTCAACAGATTAATTCTGAAAATTAATCTCCTTGTTGCATCATATAATCTGCCTAACATTCACTGCAAATCATTTGCATTGTCCTCATACAAAAGTACACACTAATTTACATTCTCAACCAACACACCTCTAACTCATCACAAGCTTTCTTAATACATTTTCTATAAAAACATTCAACAACCAAGGATATATATCCTGTCAAGCTCCTTGCTCGGTGCTGAACTATTTTCACATGCTTCACTTCCATTACATACCATTCTAATTTCTTTAGCACACAACCCCAACTCCATATTCAGGCAAAACATTCCATAATTCAAGTTTATTTATTTTATCACACAATTTCCCATACAAAGTTTATTACACATATAATAAGTTTTTCATATATTTTAAAATTAATTGTTAAAGAAAAAAAAATCTGCTCTGCATATTCTGTACCTGCAATAAAAATGCACAGCACTACTCACATTTTGCTCATGGTCATCCCTTATACCCTTTTAATCATAATTCTGCCAAACATTCTCAAGGACAATTAAACTAATACTCCATTAGTTTTTGCATTAAGTCTTGCCTCTATTCCCTCTATATATGGGAAAAATAAAGGCATTCTTCCAATTATCACACAGAGTTAGAATTTTTATACACATGGTAAAAGAGTTGTATATCCACTTTATAAACAAACAGCAACTACATTTTAATCTTTCCCCAGTTATATCATCTACAGTATACTTGCTTCCTTACCATTTTGAACATTCTCACAGCATTTATGACTTCCTTTTCATCCACTTTTCCTTGGATACTAACATTTACAGCATTTCAATTCTACTCTTTAATGTAACATTATCATCCCTACAGAAATTTCTAAAATACTTCTTGAAGTATTCCCACATTTATGTTTCATCCCAAATAATTTCATTTTTATTTTTAATTGCATTTACTCTCCTTACTGAGCTCTGTTCATCTCTTCTTTGACTATCTATAGTGTTTCTCTCATCCTCCTTTTTTCCCACAACCATTCCTACATTTTTCTCATCCATTGCCTCTTTCACTTCATCATTCATCAGAAATCCTTTTCATACTTCATGTGTGAATAACTTCTCACATTTTCATTCTGTTCCAAGCAGCTTCCACATCCTTCTTTCCTTACATCCAGTTTCAATTCATTCTGTTGGGAGATTGTCTTAATACTTTTACATACAGGACCAATACTTTCTCTTCCTGCACCTGTCCTACCTCCACTCTAGTTTCTTTCATTTCTTTCCTTCTATGTCCATGTTTCAAGATCTGGTTTTATAGACCTGCATCATACTAAACTCTTGAGCTTCAGAACAAATTTACTTCCTTGAGGCCCAGATAACTGGTTTGGAGAGACTAATAAAAAACAAAACAAACAAAAAACTTAGAATGTTAGCACCAGCCCATTTCTGAATGACAACTTCCCTATTCTTACAGAAAATGTCTTACAGAAATTAGGGTTTCTGTAGAGTTTCACACTACTCAGAGGAAAGAGAAATTGATGTATGCTCTGGTCCTGAAGAAATATATCTAAGCGAGACGAATGGGGTGGGGAGGTGGTAGCAGGCAATTCAGACACAGTCATAGCTGAGTTCAATTTAATTGCTGCATGATTACATGTACTTCCTTATGGTTGTATAAATGGGCATTCCCTCCAACCTTGAGTCAATAGAAAAGTATGTTGATGTAATTTTCATTGCCACCATAGCTGATTTTATGGGCCTCAGTTAATCAGATCAGGGACTGTGTCCTTACAGATTTAATGAAGGACAGCTTCAGGGCACTAATTGGTGGATTCTTCAGCTTCTTTTCCCATCCCAGCCAGTGTCACCAGTTGGCAGGAAAAACAATCACCAATCACTCTCCATTTATGAGTAACGGCTGGGGACTCCAGGTGCTCCTTCCTGCCCCATCTTGCAACCCTCCTATACCCCACCATCCAGCCAGATGGGCTTTCCCTCCCTCATAGGACTAGCAATTCTATCCAAACAAAACAAAACAACCTGTCAGTGTGTCTTGCACCCAGATCAACAGAGTATCTTTCCACTTCCCCCATGCCATACTGACCAGTCAGCTGGAATGTTTGTGTGTGTTTAATCACAGGACAATTGATCTTCTGGGAAAGAAAAAGAAAACCTGGTTATCAGGTCTACTCTGCACAACCTAGGTGTCATGTATCTCTAGCAAGCCAAAATGGACAAAGAGATCAGTGCCCATGAGAAGACAGGAAATCAATATACCTTTGTAAGAAAAATAGTTTGCCAGGAGAGCAATATACCCCTTTTTTTTTTTTAAGATCTGTCAGTCAGGATACACCTCATACAGCTCAAGCTAGATTGACAGATCTCCTTGTTTTCTCCACCAATACTCCCAACCCTCATTGACCTGACAGCCAGGATTTGTCTGTTTTTGACACAGGTATATTGATCTCCTAGAAGATCTGCATTCATTCAGGAAGAACCAGTCTTCCAGGAGATGAATATTTCTATTTCAAAACGAAGAAATAGGATTGCACAAGTCAGGGGTCTGGGTCCTTTTTCAGCCCAAGCCAAAACAGCTGCTAAGGGTGGTGCCCAGTGACTGGATGAAGAGGGGACACATACCCACAGTGGACTTAAAGCAGCCAAGAGGAACTAGGCAGGCTCTTGCCCATGTCATCACCAGCTTCATCAGTAAGATGTTGTAGATTGTTTATATGACAGGACTTGTGTTAAGAGAAGAGAGAAGATGCCACTTTAACTATGGAATAACTACAGACAACTTTAGGCTGCTTCTATTTAGGGTTATGGATTAGATGAAAGCAACGTTATAAGATAAGCTGCTTAAAAATGGTTAGGAGATGTCTTCATGCCAGAGTAGGCAGGCTGCGAGGATAAATTCTAAGTTTTATAATTCTGTTGTCAGAATCCTCGCAAAACATCATTGCGAAACATTAATCATGCTAATTATTGGTTTGGCTTTTTCACTTGCTGCGGTTCTGCCATTAAAAGACATGGGGGGGGGATGTAAGTATGGGAAGATGGATGGAAGACCGTTAGAGGGAGATGGGCTCTTATCACAAGCAACAGAATGCTCAAGGTCATACCAACGGGAGAATGTGAGAAGACTAAGGCAGCAGGGGGGGCGAGAGGAGGAGAAGGGAAAAGGGTAAAAGCAACTTTTGGTGCGCGAGGGCTTAGTCTTAGCAATGCTTTGGATCTGTACACTTATTCTCAATAAATGAACTTTCTTTTGAATCATGAATGGTTGCCAGGAGAGTTAATGTAACTGAGAGCTGGAGGTGTCAGGTTGTTACATCTGTTGTTTTCAATTTCTTTCTAGTGCTTATTATTTTATTTATAAAATATAGTTAATATACAATACAATCCTAAAAGATATTAGTATGCCAATGTACTATTCAATTAAAAACTGACCTAAAAATCAAGTGTAGGTTACAATCCTACTTAAATCCATTAAACTAACAGATTATGGACATAGACTATAATGGCTATTATAGGCTATATACCCTAGCCAAGCAGTTGTTGAGCAACTATGGCAAAATCAGTCATTTAACCCTAATAAAGGCAGTAACTTCCTAGTTCAAAATACAGTAAAGTACAAACTAGATGAAACAGGTAGCCCTGACAGAGCCTGATGCAGTCCATGAAGTTGTGATGTCCCACTGTCTTAGAAAAAGGAAACCAATCTTGCTGAAGTTTCTAGTTAGATGTTTTGCAACAATCCATTTTTGTACCGGACTTTGCTTTTGAATGCTTTCTCCTTTCAATCCAATTCAATCCAAACCTTTTGTTTTACTATACTAGACACTTGCTAAATACTATCGTCTCTCTCTCTCTCTTTCTCTCTCTCCACACATATAGACATATACATACAAAAACAGGCACATAGTAAGTCTTGGTTGTAAAACATAAAACTTTGTGTTTATATAAGCAGCAGTAGATTTGCAGCATAACATACATAATGTAAAAATATATTATGTACAAAATTTTATTAGCATAGCATTTATTTTAAAAGTTAATAGGTACCAACAATCGAAGAATCTGGAATTATGGTAGCATGCATGTCTCTTGTCATATTTGATTTTTCTTTCAACTTTGATTGAAGTAATGTATGTTCCACTACACCAATTCGTATGTCCATCTGAATGGTTTCTTGCTTCAGTTTGGTTAAAGCCTGTTTTATCTTTACTAATGGAGCTATTGAAAGGAAAATGTTAAACAGAACATTTTTTTTTCTTTCACTGCACAAAGTTATTATTTTTCCCTCATGATTCAATTTATTTTAATCAAGAGAGCTCAATGAATAGAAGAATGACAATATTCTGGAAACATTTTCTAGATTATCAAATCACATCAAAGTTATTTATAAATCAGAATATATTTTCTACCTTCATGACATTTTAAATCTGAAGATATACATTAAAAATTTACATATATTTCCAGAGATAATGCAGAATGTTCTATTTGAAAAATGCCTGCATATTATCTCAATGTATTTTTATCAACTTTATTTACTTTTCTTAATGTCTTCAGAATTAAGTAACCCTCCAAATCTTGAAAGGACTATAAAGATGATTCGGGAATAAACAAGAAACCTATTATATCTTAATTCCAAATAACATTTAGGTTTCTGAAGATATAAAAATAGAATTAAACTGCAACCAATATCTTCTATATATCTTTTCACAGCTGAATAGCCTATTTTTGCACCTGTTATAGAAATCAAAACATCCCAGAAGGCAGAAGGGCCAAAGCACTTCCATTACAGGTAGTCCTTGAGTTACAACTACAATTGGGACTGGGATTGCCATCACTAAGCAATGCAGTTGTAAAGTGTGATGTCACATCATCACATTGCTTAGCGATGGCAATCCAGGCAGTCCTGGTTGTTGTCGCAACCCAACACGTGGGGGTCATTAAGCAGGAAGCAGAGGGAGTCCCAGGTAAGGAGCAGAGGGGTGCTGAGGGGGGTGGGGGAGACCATGGGAGGCCCAGCACAGGCCACGCATGAGTCAGGAGAGGGGAGCTTGGTGTGGCACATGCTCAGAAAGGCCAGGGAATGAGGGTGCAGCGTGCATGTGATCACAGGGAGGCTGGGGAGGGTGCAGGTTACATACATGCATGTGTGTGCAGGGAGACCAGGGGAGGCGGCCACGGGTTACATACATGCATTTGTGCAATCACAGGAAGGCTGAGGAAAGAAGGTGCAAGATATGTGCCTGTGTGTGTGACTGCAGGGAGGCCGTGGAAACAGGGCATGGGGTGCATGCATATGATCGCAGGTAGGCCATGGAAAGAGGGTGCAGGGTACATGGATATGATCGCAGGTAGGCCGTGGAAAGAGGGTGCAGGGTACATGCCTTCGTGTGCGTGACTGCAGAGAGGCTGTGGAAGGAGGATGTGGGGTATGTGCATGTGTATGAGTGCAGGGAGGCTGAGGAAAGAGGGTGTGGGATATCTGCGAGCGAAGTGGGGAAGGAGAGAGCAGTGCATGTGAGCAAGGCTGGTGGGGGAGAAGACTTATCCCAGCAATTCGCAACCTTCTTGCCGGCTTCCCATTGACTTTGCTTGGGGGGAGCCAGCAGGGAAGGTTGCAAATGACGATCATGTGATTGTGGGATGCTTGGCAACTCGTCTTAAGCGTGAACAGGTTACCAAGCATCCAGATTGTGATCACATGACTGTGGGGGTGCTGGGATGGCTGCAACTTCAAGGACTGGTCGACAATCTCCTTTTTCAGCATTGTCATAACTTTGAATGGTCGCTGAATGGTTGTAACTTGAGGACTACCTGTATGTTGCCAAGGAAATAACACGGGTATGTCCATGAAGTCACCAAGAGTAAAGTTCAATTCAAAAAAGACCTTACATTTTCATGAAGTTAAAAGTATTGAAATATGACACTGAGTTAAATTCCCCAACATAAAATCCATACATAATTTAGCTTTTCTGGCTATCTTTTGTTCTGCATTAAGGCTTTTGCTATTGATCTAAGGCTAGATAATTACAAAGCAATTCAGAAAATGGAAATTTTGACAGTCACGCATTATGCTAATGATATTATGACTAGCTGGGTTTTACCTCTTGCATTATGTGAACCCAGTCATTATGATATATAAACCATGTCTTACAGCTCAATGCCCAGGCACAACACACTATGTTAACTGAAACTGTGACTTAACATAGCGTGAGAACCCAGCCTACATTTGGGAAAGAATCTCAAGCAAAGACTTCAGAATGCCCTTACCTCCATCAGTCATACTGCTTCCCTTTTCTTCCATTTCTTGTTTTACTTTCTCTAATTCTTCAGTAATCTTAGGAAAAAAAATGAACAGGTTATAATACTTTCACTTTGAAATTAAAGATACCTCCTTCACTTCTACACAGAAAAATCTTTTTTTTTTTTTTACACTATCAAACTGTTGTTGTGGTTAAATTGACTCCTTTTTGCTCTGTGAGAGCACCAACCTAATATAAAAATATTTCTAATTAATAATGAAAAATATTGTGATATCACAATTCAAAAACATCTCAGCTCCCACAAACTCAACTTAAATTCTTCATTGAGCAAACAGGAAAGCTAGAGTATAAAACAGAGCAGAACCTCCCCCTCCTTGTTCCCTGGTGAAATATGAAGCTCACTGGAAATAACGGAAAAGGCTCAATTTACTATAGTACAGTCCCCATACACACACAAACGCAAACACAAGAAAACGGTGTTGAAAGTTGTACTATGAAAATACACTTATTCTAAAACAAATTAGGGAAAGTATGGTTTGTGGAATTCTTTCTAACCTCTTTAGCAAGAGTAGCCACAGAATGTATATGTACACCTGAAGGAATGGGGCAAATTATACATGCTCGTAAATTCATTTATGGCCAGGAGGAAGGGGCCCTGAATAGAGGAGCTGAAGCATTCTGAGCTGCTGCCCAACTACCTCTCCAACAGGAATACACTGGATAATTTTTTGTCTGGATTTTTCTTTCTATTCAACCTCCAGTTATTTGGAGAGTTGCTGTATCTTGCTGATGGACAGACAGGTAGAGAGAGATGGAAAGACAGAGTCCTGAGTCATGATTTCTTTCCAATATTCTATTGGGTTCAAAAGAATAAAAAAGAGTTTTTGATTTAAAATGTGTCTGGAGGCTGTGGGGGTCTGGATGATGAAGAATAGCCTTCAACTTAACTCTAGCAAGACTGAGCAGCTGTGAGTTTTAGGCCCCAAAGGATCCAGATTTGGAGATTTTCCATTTTGGTTCTGAGTGGGGCTGTACTTCCCCACTCAGACCTGTGTGCAATTTGAGGGGTCCTCCTTGATTCATAACTGTTGCCTGAGGAGCAGATGGGAGACATGGCCAGGAGTGCCTTTGTACAACTTCATCTTGTGCTCCAATTGTACTTATTTCAGAATCATGGGACCCTGCCTATGACCACTCGTGCTTTGGTCATCTTCCAAATAGACTTCTGCAATATGTTGTATATGGGGCTGCCCTTGGAGACCATCCAGAAGCTGCAAATGATCCAAAATGCAGCAGCATAGGTATTAATGGACCCTTCAAATATGCCTCTGTAATACCACTACTTCGTAAGCTGCACTGGCTCCTGGTAGACTTCTGGGTGCAATTCAAGGTGCTGCCTCTGGAACAGCGGTGTAGAGAGTAAGGAAGATGGCCTTGATGGAGATATGCAGATTCCATTGCCTAGGCAGAAGGGGTTGAAGCATTTTTAAAGTCCAGAACAAGATAACATTTGGAAGTGGTTGAGGCAGACATTTCCCTAATTAACAGGAGTATAAGGACGAGGAGGAGGTAAAGCACAATCAGACTTGCAAGATTTTATTATAGCCAATAAAAAAAAAAAAAAAGCAGTTTTAGCCTTCCTATGGAGTTGATTTCCTCACTGTGTCTACCTAGTGGGGCTGACAAGCATCCCCCCAGAAATCTGTATGGCTTTTACCCTGATATTTTGTAAGTCTTTGAAACTTGGCTTTGCTCCCAAGCCTAGGCTTGGGTAGCTGCTATGGCCTTGCAGGTTTTTTCTGGGGTGTTGTGTTATTTCCTTCCAGATGTTCATTATCTTTCTCTTTTGTTTTTATTGTTCTTGACTTTTGAAACGTAAGCCTCCCAGAATCATCTGGGGATGGGCAGCCTCTGAATTTTATAAAATAAATAAATCCATAATAAGCCTTATATGGCACAGAGCTGGGCTATTTAAGGAACCACTTATCTCTGTTTATTTCTGCCTGTCCCTCTATGTCATACAGTGTGGGCATGCTACAGATCTCCTCTCTGTGGCAATGTCACCTAATGGGACCTATGAGATATGCCTTCTCTCTTGCTGTGCCCATACTCTGGAACTAGCTGCCCACTAAGATTTGGGTGGCCCCAACTCCATTAGTTTTTCACAGAGCATGAGGACCTGGTTTTTATTTCAGGCATTGGGCCAGGGTGGTAACTGAGCCCTTTCTGCTCTGAGAACAAGTGCTTGTTGTGCTCAGTCTTAGCTATGTGTGTGTTATATAACCAATATAACGTTTTTTAAATTCTGATTTTTATTTTTATTGATGTATGCTACTTAGAATAATAAATTATGAGTTGTGTGGCATTATATATTCTCAAATAAATACAAATAAAAATACCTTTCCTACTCTTTTGAAACGTTTTTGAGAATGGGCCCCCAGGTCTTGGGGGACTTGGTTCTGGGCTTGAGGCTACCATTGGGGGATGGAGGCAGGCATGGGCAGATATGGTGTGTGACAGGGTGCAAGCTGCCCTCAAGAAACGCAGAACCCTTGTCTTACAATGGTTCTACGTTCCAGCTCCTTGAACTCAGCTTCAATGCCCCATCAGCAGACTTTGAGAGGCCCTGGCTTCCAGCTGCTGCTACTAAATGCCAGGTCGGTCTGCAATAAAGCCTACCTCATTCATGATCTAATCACTGATGAGAGGGATGATCTGGCATGTATCACTGAAACCTGGCTGAGTCCAAAAGGGGGGCGGGGCTGCCCTTTCAGAAATACGCCCAGCTGGTTTTTGAGTGTGGCATCAGCTGAGCCTCTGGGGGCAGAGGTGGGGGTGTGGCAATTGTCATCTGGGAATCCCTTATGGCCTTCAGGGGTGCTGCCCCTTAGGTCACTGGATGTGAGACCCTGTTCATTAAGCTGGGCTCCAGGGATCAGTTGGGATTGTTGCTGTTGTACCAACCTCCCTGCTGCCTAGCAACCTCCCTGCCTGAACTCCTTGACTCCATTTTTGGGTTGGCAGTGGAGTTCCCCAGACCTATGGTCATGGGGGACTTCAATCTACCTTCCTTAGGAATGGGGTCTGAGGTGGCTTGGGAATTCATGGCCACCATGACAGCCACAAGCCTATCCCAGGTAATCCAGAGCCCAATCCAGGATAGTGGACACACTCTGAATTTGGTGTTCCTGTTGGAACAGTGGCTATGTGATGTGAACTTGGAGGAGCTTTTGGTGTGTCCCTTGTCATGGTCAGATCATGCCCTGATTTCCATGCCATTCTCTAGTGCCACTATCCACTGCAGGGAGGCTGGACCTATAAGACTGGTCTGGCCCTGGTGACTGATGGACTCAGATGGGTCAAAAGGAGCTGGGGGTTGTTCCTGTTGGTCTGCTGCATGGTCCATCCAAAGCCTTGGTTGCCGCTTGGAATAAGGGGATGGTTGAGGCACTGGATTGGATTCCATCCATGCAACCTCTCCCCTCTCAGGGATCCCGTCACTCCCTGTGGTTTACAGAGGAATTGAGGGAGATGAACCAGAAAAGACACATATACAGCATTGCTGGCACTTAACCAAGGACGAACTCGACCAAACTTGAGTTAGAGCTGCTAAAGGCTTACCTTGTGGTGGTAAGGGCAGAGAAGCGGCAGGACTTCTCTGCCCTTATTGCATCTGCAGATTGCCACCCTGCAGCCCTGTTTCGAGTATTGTGAGCCCTCTTGGGTAAAGGGCCCCCAGAGAACCTTTTGCAGGGGCATGTGGAGGAGTTTGCTCAGCATCCATTGGACAAAATTGCTCACATTCACTTGCAGTTGGATGCAGGTCCAGAGGAGATGCCTGGATGGTTATCTGGGAATGGTTTGAACCTGTTGGACCTGAGGAAGTGGACAGGGTCCTTAGGACTATGAGCTCAGCCATGTACTCTTTAGATCCACGCCCCTCCTGGTTTGTGAAAGCAGCCCGGGGGTGTCATGTGAGTAGGCTCTAGCAGTGGTTAATTCTTCTCTGAGTGAGGGGGTTGTTCCTTTACCTCTTAAAGAGGCCTTGGTTCACCCCCTTCTCAAGAAGCCATAGCTAGACCCTGCTATAGTGGACAACTTTTGTCCAGTATCTAACCTCCCCTTCTTGGGGAAAGTAGTAGAGAAGGTGGTTGCACAATAGCTTCAGAGGACCAGATAAACGGATTATCTGGATCCTTTTCAGTCAGGATTCAGACCTGGGTATGGGATGGAAATGGCATTGGTTGTGCTTTTGGATGATCTCTGGTGGGGATGGGATGGGGGATGTGCATCCATCCTTTCCCTATTTGACCTCTCAGTGGCTTTTGATACCATTGACCATGGTATCCTTCATGGTACCCAACCTCAGAGGATTGGGGGTGGGCGGCATGGTGTTGTGCTAGTTTGCCTCCTTTCTTCAGGGTTGACTCCAGTTGGTGATGATCGGGAAGGAGAGGTCACACCCTTGTCCCCTACTATGGGGGTACTACAGGGTTCAGTGCTCCACTATTGAGGTGGATGTTCTCTCTCTCTCTCTCTCTGTATGGGGTTTGTATATATTTTAGGCTTAATTAATCTCTACTTTTAATGTTGACTTTTTAAATATTTTTAAATGCTTATTTTTATATATGCATTGTTTTCTGATTATTGTATACCGCCCTCACTTCTCACGAGATGGGCAGCTGTATAAATTTGTTTAATAAATAAATAAATAAATTTGCTTTACTTTCTTTCTTTCTCTTTCTTTCTTTCTTCTTTGTTCTTTTATGTATTCTCAAGAACCAAAAGGGAGACAAGCAGCAGATCAGGTAAAAAAGCTTCACTTACTTAAGAACCAAGGGCTGTTCCGAAAACCAAAACCTAGCTAGTATCATACTTCTCTAAAATTGTTTATTACCCAAAGATCAAAAAATGCTCTGGGTTCACATATCACACTAAGACATAATGTGGTTTGTTTGGGATGCATTCTGTAAACCATATCCAGCCTTTCTGAATCATATTTACATTTTGAGAGCACGAGATTGGCACTCTCACAAAATGGCTACAATAAGGGCATGACCCATTACAAAATGTTTATTTATAAGAAATTTAAAAAGTAAGATAGCTTCTCACCATCTTCTCTAGTCTTCCAAGAGTCTCTCTATCACCTGTTTATCTTCTATTGTTTTACTAGGCAGATGGCCACACTTTCAGTCAAAACATTAGCCATGTATCATTTTTTAAGACTTTCTGTAGAGCTGATGTGATACCCAGACACATTTTTTAAAAATTAAGATGATGACTGAGGCTAGACTTTGCTTTGCAGCATGCTTATTTCCAATTTCATTTTTTAAATTAATTCTTAAAAAAAAAATAGATTGGGCATGGAGCATGTACCTCAAGAAACATGTCTGAATCATGCACACTGGTTCCAGTATTTCACAACAGGTATCCAGAACTCTAGGTGCTGTATGAACTCAACTACTGAGGACAGTAAACCATGGTTTATGGCTTTGCCTAATATGTGAAGCAGACATCTACAGCTTTAAAAAAGTAATGGTTTAGCTCAAATAGAAACAGTATGAGTGTTCGAACACAAGAGATGGGAAATCCACCAGAAGCCAAAACTGTGAAATATATCAACAACAGCAGCTTGAGAAAGGAAATCTTGTTCTTTGAGAGACTAACATCTGGCTGTTGCTCTTGCAGCAGCCTCTACAACCTGGCACAGTCTGGAATGTCAGAAGCACAGTAGCAGCTAGAATATCTGCAGTCTAAGAGAAAAACAACATTATCGTTCCTTAGTAATGCTTGTCTGTTTTGTTATCTTTTAGATGCAGTATAAGTGGAGTTAAGAATTTCTGTTTGTAGGAGGGCTAGAGATACTCAAGTTACATTATGTATACATACATATGGTCAGTAGTTTTGCTTTCCCATTATTTTCAGTAAAGTAGATTCCCCAGAGCAGATCTGCCATTTGGCAAAATGCAGTGGCCAGTTCAAGTGGGTGACAAATAAGGATTACTTAGCTACCACAACCACCTCAAAGCAAGGTATTCCAGACGGCAAGAGGCTGTGGGTGGAAAGAGCAGTATTGTTGTGGCAGCCAGCCAAGTCAAACAGATGGAGAACAGGCTGGCTGCAGCAGCACTGGATTCTTTTATGCCATTCTGCCTCAATGCTTAATAAAGTAAACCTAATTTAAAATCAAGTAAAAATGGAAGAGGGTAGCCAAGTCACATTCAGACAACTGACCCTTGCTGAGGAATACACAGATTATGAAGTGCTTCAGGCTTTTTTTTTTTTTTTAAAAAAACTCTTCTAATACTGCAAACTGCTGCGGCCCAAAGAAATCCAACAAGCTTAGGAAGGTTATGCACCAACTCTGGCATACGAAAGACCCACTACATACTAAAAACTAAGATGATAGCTAAAATGGAGGAAATACCCGAACCATAACTAATATATTTTGTTAAGTTTAGCATAATTGAAAGGGACAGCATCATTGGAAAGAAAAGATGACTTTAAGCTGGAAATTTACGGATGAGTCAGAGAAGTGGTATCATAGTTAAAACAGCACTGTGCCTCTGAATTTCAGATGCAAAACTTTTCAATCTCATTTATCCATTATGATAATACATAATATCATGTTCAGGGGCTTTTTCACAGGATGGTTCCTATGACGCTAGAGATCTTGTTTTAATAGGTCATACTTACAATAGCTCTGTTAAAGCAAGGTTTAATACCCAGTATTTCCTTCTTCTGTCTATTGACATATAGCCAAGGCACATGTGCATTTTGTTCAATTCTTCATTCAGATGTTCAATTATTCAGAAGAATAATCAAGAATGCAAAGTGGATGAATGAGAAAAGTTCTATTATACAGTTTGATTTGATGCTGATGAAACACTCATCAGACTAAGAGACCCTGCCTGGTCCTTTTAGTCATGTGAAGTTATACACTCATTTATTTAATATTAATGATGTTATAAAATTTAAGTTCCTTGAAAAGGAAAGGCAGTAACTCATTCATCCTGAACCATTTAACAGGAGCAGAGTACAGTAAATCATTTAATTGAGTTCAGTGAACTGGCTCCAGGGAGAGAACTGACAGAAGTGGAATTCTCAAGTGTCCACTCAGAGTACTCTAGATTTCAAATTATACAACTTATAACACACCAGGCTTTCATGAATACTTCGGGATAAATTCATTGCTTATTTTCAAACAGGCATCCATAAGTTAAACACTTAATTCTGTCACAAAAACATGCTAAAACATCATATACTATAGATAGAAGTAGTGGCCTAGTACCGCTATTTTAATATAGTGAATTTTTTTTAATTTATAAGATTTATATGGCTGCCCATCTTATATAATGTAAACTTGGGCAGCTAATGAAAATCAATCCAATACAAATATGATAAAAGATACAATTTTGTATCCTCACACAATTAAAAACCATTGCACTCTAATCAAGACACCATAATAACCTCACACCAATTTCACATGTGCTGGCTCAACTCACATCCTGGTTCAGCACCTGGGTGAAGAGCAGGTCTTCATGGTTCTTTACTGAACTTTGATTGAACAGATCTAGATCCTGACAACCTCCAGATATTTGTTCAAGCGATCCCCATCCAGTCTGGGGCGGTAATATACAACTGAGTGATATACAGCTGAGTGACACTACATACTGATGGCACCTCATCCAAACTACCAGATGATCTCTCCCAGTGGCTTCATACAGAAGTTAAATAACACCGGGGAGATCATCGAATCCTGTGGTACCCCATACTGGAGCAAGCATGCATCTCATGATTACAGACTGGAATTGCCCACTCAGGAGCAGAACTACTGACTCCCAGCCCTTATAGACAGTCCAGCAAGATACAAAGGGCAATGATATCAAATCAACCAAAAGGCCTAATAGGACCAAGAGAGACTTCCCCATCAAGGTATAGAAGAAGGTCACTCACCAGGGTGATCAATGCTGTTTCCATCCCATGACTGAGTCTGAATCCTGACTGGCAGATCATCTGTAGCTGAGTACCACTACTTTAGCAACAATCTTCCCCCCAAAAGAAAAGCTTTGAGACTAGGAGAAAGTTGTCAAAAACAGCTGGATTAAGGGAGGTCTTCTTCAAGAAGTTCAACTTTTTTTAAAATGCGTAATCCTCTCTCCTAGAGAAGCACAGACAGTTTTCCTGATCCAGCTGCTCATCCTTCCCCAACTGCCTTAAGGAGTCAGGCAGAACATGGAACAAAGTGACAAGTAGCAGAACTCATACTACACCAGATCTTAATCACTTCTTTGGGCTTGATAAGCTCAAATGAATACTAGATACCACATGATCCCATTTCATTCATCACAGTGGATTCTGACCAAGCGACATACAACTCAGAACTTATATGAACAAATTTAGCTGCCAAGGAATGCTCAAAATCATCCAGTAAATCTAGACGTGTCTTCTCCCACCCATCCTTCCCTAAAAGGAGCCAAATAACTTGAACATGGATGCCAGGCAGGAATCTTCGGATGCAGTAACAATGAAGAACTGATGTTTTGCCATTCTTATTACCACCATGGAGGCTTGAGGCCGAGCTCTTGTTAGTGCTTGGTTGCATACACTTCAGGTTTTGTGCTACCATCACTTTGGGCATCTTCTCAATTGCTTCATTTCCCTCAGTTCCTCAGTAAACATATGGGATCAGTGACTGAGCAGAAGCCTTACAGGAGCAATTTTATCAAATACTTTGGTGGTCTTCATATTTCAAAGGTTGACTAAGTATGAGACAGAACTACCTGCCAAATTGCCAGGAAAACTCCTAACAACTCTTTGGAAACCATCCAGTGCCTAGGGTTGACCAACTCTGCCCATGTAGAAGTCCAGGATGACTATGAGACCCACTTCAACAAGGAAGCAATCTCAATACTGCAAAGGACAGATGTCACTATCCTCCATCTCCAGATCACCCCTCATCTGCTCAAATGATTATACAGCAGGAACCCACTCACATGTTGCGAAGCTGAGATTACTTGGAACAGACCCATGGTTGCCATGGAGTTCATGAACTCAGAAGCTGTACTGAAAACCAATCTTCCAGTGGTTGGAAAGTGCAGTCCCCCATGACTATCAATCTTTACCAGACTTTTGCAAATAACAAATCCCTTTCTCCACAATTACTCCATTATTTTCAGTATATCTAAATATGAGAGAAAAAACATATGCACTCACTTGATATCTGACAATAGAAATCAAGGATAAAAAAGCTGTACCTCAGACAGAATTCTTGTCCTCTCTGTCACACCACCACTTCCTTGCTGATATTTCTCTTTGGCCTGTTTGGGGGAAGGGAGAGGTAGAAAGTATCAAGAAATATTTTTATCAGGCACAGAATTTCTATGAAAATATTCCCTTTCAGAGGAACAACCCTAAATATGAATGTTTGCTATATTTTTATGATTTGAGTTATAATTTAAAAACCGTAACATTCAGTTAGCAATAGCAGTAACACAATATTGTTAAAATACTTTGAAAAGCAAATATATTACCTCACTCAAAAGCGCCTGTGCAGAACGATATTCTTGAACCAAATGCTCGAGCTGATTGTTAATATACTTTTCTCTACTGCTAACCTTTTCCAGAGTTCGGCTGATTTCATTATGAAGCTTGTCAAGATAGCCCTGTAAGAGTTTTACATGCATGTTAATTATCACTGAAAACTGACTGGGATCTGAAGTTCTGTTGACCTTCAGCTTCAACAGCTTCAACAGCTTCAACATGTCCAATGGGATTTTTCTTTTTCCACTTTTTCATTTGACCATTAGTCCATGTTCCATGTCCAAACAGTCTTTGAAAACTGTATCAAGTTTTAAAACCAGACTGATTTGCAGCATTAGGGAAATACAAAAACAAAGAGCATTTTGGAAAGTCCTTTGGAAATACTGTAGCAAAAATTATCTTGCAATTGTCAGTATCTCAGAATGAAAGCTAACAGTATACAGTGATGTTCATCTGCTCCTCACATGTGTCAAAAAGCTTAATATTAAACATCAAATTCAATTATTAGGAACCCTAAAGCTTTAAATGTTAATACAGATCACCACTTTCAAGCTGGAGACTGGCACTATTTACTGATCATCAGCTAACATCTCTTAGAAGAAAAACTTGATGATCTCAAAACACTGAAGAAATCTCATTTGAAAGGAAAGCCTTCCTGTAACATCTTGCTCCCAAACCCAGTTACTTCCAGAAATCTCCTAAAATAGCCATCATATAAAAAATAGCTAGTTGGCAGAGATAACCCAATTCAGAAAGAAAACAGATGCCTGGAAAAAAAAATACTTTTTATTCTCTATAAGTGGTTTCAAGGAGAAAGTTGATGCTATTGGTCTTGACAATGCTTGATAGAAATAATGTAACAACATACTACAACTAATTAACAGCATGCAGTACCTGAATTACCACAACGTCACTCAGAATACCACTTTTAAATTACACATCAGACTTACACGGGTATCTTTTAAAGCTGATTCAATTCCATCTTGGTGCTGATGCATTTGATCCACGTGGATTCGCCAATCCTAAATTAAAATAAAAATAACTTGATACACAAAGTTGTACTTTTCTCCATGTTGTTCTAATAATATCTGAGTACGTTTGCACTGCATTTACAAAATATGCCATTTTCAATCCAAAGACTGAAAAGGTTCCTTTAGAATAACATAATATGAAAACCTAGTATATGTTTGTGCTTCAGTATAAACTGTGATTATCACTGCCAATGAATGGAAGACAATTCTTACATCAAATCGGAATCCGAATACATTTACCAATTTGTTTATTTATTACATTTATTTATATGTTGCCCCTCTCCCAAGGTTCTGGGTGCTTTACCCCCCCCCCCCAAATCAATTAAATCTCACAAAGCAGAGAGCACAAAGATGCTTGCATTATCAAATCCAAGTCATAATGATAAAATCCCAAACAAAAATGGCAGCCCGGCATCTTCACTAAAAATGAAAAGCTCTTCTGAACAAGATAATTTTAACTGCCTTGTGAAAGACCAATAGTGAAACACCAGGCCTTTCACTTTCCAAAGTGTTTAGGGCACCACAGAAAAGGTCTACCTTCAAGTCCATGTCCCCTTCACCTCTTGTGAGTCTGGGATTATAAGCATTCCCATCACTGATTATTGCACAGGGTAGCAGAATCTACTTGGAGAAGGTTCCCAAAATAACAGGAGCTGTGCTGTGTAGGGCTTTAAAGATTAAATTGGGCTCAGAAAGCTACTGGCAACCACTGCAGCAACTAGAGAATAGGTACTTCGTTCCAATAGCAGTTCTCCTCTGTTTGCAGTCTGGCCACTGCATTCTGTAAGGCTCCACTGGTCACAATTTCTGCTTGCCATTACAGCAGCAACCATGAACCCAGTAGATACCTCTGGTCAAGGACCTGCTCCTTCAGGGAGAGGGTAACCCCCATCTAGGGGAAAGATCAGAACCATGTTGAAACCAAGATATTTCTGGGCAGTCAATCATTTTGCCTTGTTCGAATTCAATCTGAGCCTGTATTGTTCTATTCAATCCTTGGGTATCCAGACACCAGATTAAGACCTCCATCCCTACCTGGAATAGAGATGTATAACTAACTATTATCAATATAATGATAATAACTTACCTCAAGCCCATAGATGACTTATTCAAATGGTTTTATGTAGATGGAAAATAGTATAGGGAGAATGCTGTGCCCTGTAAGAACCCACTGAAGCAACCATGGACTCAACTGTTCCTCCCCATGACTACTGTCTGGAACTGCCACTTAGGAAGATGTGAAGCTAATTTAGAATAATGTCCCTTGCTCCAAGGTTCTGTCAACAATCTATACAGACATGACAGTTGATAATATCAAAACCTGTAACAGTTCTAAAGGAACCAGGAGAACAGCATTCTCTCCATCCAAGTCCTGGCAAAGGTCACCTACCACAGCAATCAATGCTGTTTCTGTATCATGTCCACATATGAATCCTAACTAAAGAGATCTATAATCTACTTAATCTAAGATTCTCTGTAGCTGACATGCCACATTCTCTAAAATCTTTCCTAAAAAGGAAACATTGGAGTGGAAGTTGCACATGTTATGGCTGGATCATCAGACTGCCCTTTCAGGATAAAACGGCCTCATTAAATAACAAATAAATAAATCTTAATTACAATAATGAATATTTCTATGTTCAGTAACAGCACTGTCATTAATTTATGGTTCAAATTTAGTGCTACAGAATTTAAGATAATTTTCATAACATATAGTTGTAATTTTGAATGCCCAGAAATAAAAGGCTTTCACAAAGATTAGCAGGAAAGATTTAAGAAATTCAGAAAGAAGTTTTTGAATTAGGAAAAGGTTAATATAGATATGCTTCAACTGAGTAAATATGGAAAATATTCAAATGTACATGCACTAACCAGAAGAACAAGTTGGACAGTGAAAATAAAAGATTTCCACATGTGCAACAGAAGACTTTCCCCGCTGTTTCTTCCAAGCAGCTTCCCTTTCTTCTTAGTTGCTTCAAAAAGTTTTTTAAACCTCCAGAGCAGATTTCAAGATGGTGGAGGGATGATATAGAATTTATTCATTACTCTTTCAGTGATGAAAACTGTTCCATTTGCCCTACACATTTGTAAGGTTATGGAGATCATTCAGTAAGGTTCCCCATCTTGAAGTATACATAGCTTTATTCTATTAATGGATGTATTAATGCACATGCATGTTCAGAACTCTTCAGGAAATATATAAAGCAACTGAGCCTTTAAGTGATCTGAACTGTTTTGTGCCTTTTGTAGTAGGGATCCAGAGGGGCACATCGGTTGCAGATGTCATGATCTGCATAAGCCTATAAATTAGATACCAACTTTATTTATTGTACTTTTATCCCATACTTTCTCTAACAGGCCTCAAAATAATATTCTAGCCTTATGGTAAATTTGTATAATAGAACAGAAGTTAAGTGCTAGTAACTTCCTTAGCTTAAGGGAAATAGGAACCCATGTTTCCTCTAAACCAATATGCTAGAGACTGCATCATGTCAAATGGAAATAAATAAATAATGTGGATGAAACTGCAGTCTTGGGACTAATTCTCACATGCAAAAATATGGTAAGTTGTATCAGAATTGAAAGCATTTTCAAGGGAAAGACCACCTTTATACATATAAAGTTCACATTTGATAGAGTATTTAAAATATTCCCTGATAATCTGTTCACAGAATTTTTGTTTCACATAGAGGAGCATTCAATCATTATAAAGTCCTCTACAGGTAATCCTTGCTTAATGACCGTTCATTCAGCAATTGTTCGAAGTTACAACAGCACTGAAGAAAGTGACTTATAACTGGTGCCCAAAGTTATGACCATTTCAGTGCCCCTGAGGTCATGTGATTGCAATCCAGGCACTTGGCAACCAACTCACATGACGATTGCAATGTCCTGGGGCCACGTGACTGGCATTTGCAACCTTCCCAGTTGGCTTCCAGCAAGCAAAATCAATGGGGAACCACGTGGTTCACTTAATGACATGGTGATTCACTTAATGACCACTGCAAAAAAGGTCATAAAATTGGGTCTGGTCATGTGATGATTCATTTAACAACCACATCGCTTAGCGACCTAAATTCCAGTCCCAATTGTGGTCATTAAGCAAGGACTACCTTTAATATGAAAGTATGTTTGGTTTGAATCTGAAACAAACCATAACATTCTGGAAGTTCTATCAAACCCTCTTCAGGTCAGCTGCAATTCAGAATAAAAACCTGGAACATTCTGGGTTTTGGCAGAAATAAAAATCTGGAGGCACCCCAGAGTAATTTAGTGAGGTAAAGGCTGGTGCACATTACCTTATCTCCCCTATTTATCTGCATTGTCTATCCATGGGCCCGTTTACCTCTCCTCTTTTTCCAATGCCTTCCCTTCCCTTTTTTTTCCTCCCCTGCTTCTAGTGTAGCATATTTCCCAGCCTAGCCATCACCCAGTCTTCTCAGTGCTTTCCATTCTTCATCCACTACTTTTAAACCACTATTGCTACTAATGTACCAGCATAGGAAATCCCATTTGCCCACCCATTCCTTATCTTCCCAGCATCTTCCCAACCTTTCCATTCCTGCTACCACCCATTTCCACATATTCCACATATGTGACCAATGCGGTTTCTGTCCCATACTGATAAGCCTGAATCCTGACTGAAAATGGTCCAGATAATCCATTTCATTCAGGGTCCTCTGAAGCTGCTGCACTACTGCTTTCTCAACCATTTTCCTCCAAAAGGGGAGGTTAGGTACTGGATGAAAATTGTCCAGCATGGTGGGATCCAGCAATGGTTTCTTGAAAAGGGAGTGAACCACCTCACCCAAGGAAGAGTTCACCACTGCTAGAACCCACACACACGACACTACCCCAGATAGCTTTAGTTAGCCAGGAGGAATATGGATCTAAAGAGCAGGTGGCCAAGCTCACAGGCATGAGGACCCTGTCCACTTCATCAGTCCCAACAGGTTCAAACAGAAACAGTGCAAGACTCCATCCCGGGCAAGTCCTGCAACAATGTGACGTCCAATGAGAATGAATTTGAGTGACTTTGACAGATGCTGAACTCTTCTGCACAGCCTTATAGGGGTATCTCTGAGCCTCCTCCATCCAAGAGGGCACATGTCACCCGAAACAAAGCTGCTGGACAACTATCTCCAGATGCAATGAGGGTGGAGAAGTATTGTCACTTCACTGCTCTTATTGCCACAAAGTAGGCCTTAATAGCGTCTCTAACCAGTATTCAGTCAAGTTTGTCCCTTGTTGTAATGGTATGTGGAAATGACCTTGGGAGACTAGGCCCAGAAACCCTGCCTGGGGAACGGCCAGATAAGAGACTTGGAAGATTGATATTAGCCTTACCAGGTAGACCAAACAGGAAATATGATAGATGAGCTAATATTACTTAATGTAAGGCTACATTAATAGAATCTTGCAAGTGTGAAACTACAATTCTTTCTGTCTCCTTTACATCCCAAGAAATTAGGGAGGGTCTTTTCTGAGCCTCTTACTCCACCCACTATCCAGCTGCGGGCTATGCTGTCTCTTATCTGACTGTTCTTAGGCAGCGTCTCTGGGCTCAATCTCCCAAGGTCATTCCCACATACCACTATACCTGTTGAGTGCCAGTGATGCTCTAGACGACTCTTCTCCTGTTTCATCTCCTTCAACTCTTCCTTAAATCATGGGGAGTGAAGGGATCCATGAGACAGGAGAGGTCGCATAGGTGTGATCTGATCTAAGGCCTTGGCAGCTTTCTTGTTCCAAGCAGCAACCAAGGCTGCAAGTGGAGTATGTAGCAGACCAGCAGGAGCAAACCCCAGCTCCCTCTGAAACCCATCAGGGTTCATCAGTCATCGAGTGCAGACAGATTTAATAGGTCCTGCCTCCCTGCAATGGATAATGGCACTGGAGACTTCCATGGCTATCAGGGCATGATGTGACCATGACAAGGGATACACTGAATGTTCCCCCAATACCAGATCACACTGCCACTCCTCCAGCAAGAAAACTACATCAGGTGTGTGTTGGGCTCTGGATGACCTGGGATAGGCCTATGACTGTCATGGTAGCCATACACTCCTAAGCTGCCTCCAACCCCACTCCCAGAGAAGGTAGATTGAAGTCCCCCAAGACCATAAGTCTGGGGAACTCCACCAACTCATAAATGGAGTCAAGCAACTCAGGCATGGAGGCTGCTTTGCAGCAGGGAGGCTGGTATAGTAGCAACAGTCCCAACTTATCCCTAGAGCCCAACTTAATGAACAAGGTCTCACATCCGACAACCTGTGAAACAGTGCCCCAAAAGCCTGAAGAGTCTCCTGGGTGGCAATCGCCATATCGTCATCCCTGCCCTGAGGTCTCGTCACACCTGAAGCCCAGCTGGGCACAATTCCAATTCCCCTGCCCCGCCCCAGCCAGGTCTCGGTAATACATGCCAGGTTAGCCCTCTCATACATGATTAAATAACAAATGAGAGAGGCCTTATTACAGATCAATCTGGCATTTAGTAGCAGCAGCCAAAAGTCAGGGCCTCTGAAGGTCTACTGACCAGGCACAGCAGTTGAGTTCAAGGAGCTGGAATGCGCAACCACTATAAGGCACTGGTCCATATTCCCTGAGAGAGGCCTGCTCCCAGTCTTCCGCCATATCTTCCCATACCCATCACCACCATGATATTCTGGCCCACCTCACCTCCCCCGAGTCCGCAACATCCCCTAATCCAACCCCCCAATTCCCAAGGCAGGAGATCCCCTCCTGTCCTCACTATCTACATCTATCCAAGGGAGGGGAAGCTGAGTCCCATCAGGCACTTCAGCCCTAGTCTCAGCACCATCAAGTACACCCAACAACCACTCTCCTCTCCACCCAACAAATTATCTCCACCAATTGCTCAAGTCCACACTTAATCCCAAACCTCTTCTGCCCAAAAGAATCATGTTTCAATTCTTACCCAAAATAAAACCGTCCTATTCTATTCCAAGTACAACGTTTTTTATTTGTTTCAGGCATGGAATATCAAAATCTGTGCACTGAATGGTCCATATACAGAATTTTCACACATCCCAACATTCCTCCATGCCAACCTGCAGTATAAAATGGTACAGGTTTGCAAGGAAAAATCTTTAATATATAGGCACTTCAATTGAATACTGAAGGTGCAGACTTTAAAGATGACAAGTGTAATTATAGTAACAGGGAAGCCACATAATTTAGCAGAAATGTTCTGAATTAAAAAATGATAATTGGAGGTGTAGGAAGGCAGCAAGAAAGGAATTGCAATACTTGAATAAACTGAATAAATAAAGTGTCATATCTTTACCATCTAAAATAATGACTATTCTGATTTCATAAAATATACTCTGCAAAGTTGCAGCTATCCACTGACCGCACTGAATGATGGTTTCAGCAATCACTATTTTTTTCTGTCTGCATTAATTGTGATAACAATGGGCAGCAATGAAAACTTTGGTGTTGCATGCTAAAATATAAGGTCACATTTGACATGCAAGAAAGCAGCAAATGTGATTTAGTAATTCACTTGATATGTAGAGAATAGCTTAAGTACATGGTTTCAACACCCCACAGAAAAGAGAGACAGTACAATTCAAGAGCTAAGAGAGGTAAGTGAGGTGAGCAAAAGCAAGAGCTGAATCACCAACAAGTCTGATTAGAAATAAATAGAAGAACCAGAATAAACAGAATCAATACATTTAAACATAGTGAGATAGAAATGAAAAGTTATGGGTATATGGGTAAAAAAATTGGATATAATATAAAAAATAACTTTTGCTAAGGGAAATTGGAGAGAACTAAGGAAAATAATTAAGGGGGTCTCAATAAAGAGTCAAGGAAGCACAAACAAAAAAACAGATTTACAGGTAAAGGGCATATATATAACCTGAACATTACTATCAAAAATAATAGAGTTAAGACATGGTTCAACAGAACACATTAGGCAAAGAAGCACTACAGGTAATCCTCACTTAATAACTATGCATTCAGTGATCGTTCAAAGTTACGAAGGTACTGAACAAATAGTAGTTATGGCTGGTCCTCGAAGTTACAGCTGTTGCAGTGCCTGTGTGGTTCCATGACCAAAATGTGGGCACTTGGTAGCCCACCCGCATTTACGATTGCAGCATGTGCTTCAACTCCCCCCACCTGCCTATCTCCCCCGATCTCTGCCCTTTGGGCCACCCTGCACTCTGCCGCCGCCTACTCCTGCCAGTTCCCACCACCCCCAGCTGACCTTCACTGTCTTCTTCTCCTGCTGCTGCTGTGACATGCCTTAACTCGCTGGCCCTTTGCAAGCCGGGGGAGCTGAAGCGGAGAGGAGCGTGGCAAGGCAGGAGAAGTGTGAGGTCCTCGCCTAATGGTAGTGTGGTCCTTGCCTAATTACTGCAACTGGGACTACCAGAACTGCCATTGCTAAGCAGTGCAGTCAAATGATGATTCACCTAATGACCTCTTTGCTTAGTGACAGAAATTCCAGACCCAATTAGGGTCGTTAAGCAAGGACTACCTGTACATAGCAGCTATGGGAAACCTGTAACCCTCCTAAGAGCCCAACCTAGAAGTGAGTAGTGTAAAATGCTAAAAGCTGTAGCTCAGGAACCAGACCTAGGCTGATTAGATTAATATCCAAGATATGCTGCTTAAGAGTACTTCTGATATTTTCAAAACCTAATGAGCAAATTTGGGGAGTTAACAGTGAAGAAGTTTAAAAACTAACTGGATGCAAAAATGATTTGATTCCAAGCTAATATTAAACATGATTGAATAATCAAGTTTTTCCTCGGGGAAACTGAGGAAAATGAAGTTAAATGAAGCCATCATTCTAATCAGATTTGCCACTCACAAAAACTTACATGTCTTCAGTTGATATTGAAAGTTAGGGTACCTAAATGTTTTCTTAATACTTCTAAAAATCTATTCATACATTTGCACTGCAAAGTAAGGTCTTTGTGTTCAGCAACTGCAACATGTTTATTCCAAATTAACAAACACTTTGTAGATACTTATACTAAGTGGTCTGATATCAGCCAAGTATAGTTACCCTTTATATTTAATTAACTTATTTAGCAGAGGAAAATAGAAGTGGAACTTTGAATTTTACAAATTTTGAAAGCCTATTGATTTTACAGACATTATGAAAAACAATTGACATAATATAAGGAGAAGAGGGTGAAAAGTTCTTCCTTCTCCTTACATGAGCATTTTAGCAATTCTCCTTGACTTCCACGCATACAGTGCAAATGTCTGTAGGGAGGAAAGCTTCATTAATATACATGTACTTGTAGACATTTTCATGAGATGCCCCCTTTTAGCATAGAGGTTTTCTGACCTATTTTCATAATGCCTAAACAGGAATATGCATACACATAGGTAGACTGTTTCTGAAAGATGACATGCTGATTTAGAAGCAACACAGTAAACAACAAATTTTTCCTTACCTTATTATCTGTTCTGATTGTGACTTTTAACTGAGGAAGAACACGTTCTACTTCAAGGTTCCACTCAGCTGCATCTACTTTAGATTCTAAAATCTCTTCCTGTTTAGACTCAAGTGTGTCCTATCAAGATATTGGCATTAAACACACTAGTGAATTATCACATTATAATATGCAATGATACAGAAAACACCAACCCTTATACAATTTCAAACCTCCTTTGGCAGCATAAAGGCCAAAGAGTGATATGCATCACTTATACCAGTACAAGATTTGAAGCAGTAACATTGTACTACAACTGCTTTTAAGGTACACAACACAAATAAGCAGCATGGGAAAAAAATTCTACAATCTGCTTTCCAACCATTTAAGCACAAAAAACTATGCTAGTTCAACAAAGAAATCCACATAGAAAAATTTGATTTACAAGAAAATAAATCTAAAAAAGAATGTTTATGTTACTGTTGCCTTTAAAAAATCAAATCAGAGAAGCCTATAAATAACTAATTGTAGATTTCCAATGAGTTCATATTCAATTTATATTCAAACTGGACATGAACTGACTTTTTAACATGGCCAAGGCATGATATTATTATAGTTAATATTATTTTTGTTGTTTTGTAAAAACTATATCAGATGGGTTTAAAATCCATGAACGAAGAGAATGCCACATATGGACTCAAGCATTTCCCTTAATTCTTCCATGTCACAGCTCCTTTGATTGTCTAAAACTTCCCTCCAAATTGTATGAATGCTGGGACACTTTCCAGATAATCACAGGAAGTTGTAAAGAGGGTTACTTAAGGAAGGGGCCACTTCATGCAAAAAGCAGTGCATTCTATTTGCAAATCAGTACTTCAATATCTAGCATTCAGTCTTAATTGAAGAAAACACTTACTGATTTGTAAGTTTGTGCCTTTAAAACATTCAGATCAATATAATTTTCTTCATTGTCTGTCTCTTCTTCCTTAAAAACATATAAAATATTGTTTAGCAGGACAGTCAACACTGTGATTTAAAATTTATTTTCTGAATGCCATCACAAATGGTATTGCGATCCAAAACTGTAAAATATGCTTTTGACTTTTTGTCAAAAGCACTTCTTTAGTAATCATTTCACAACAGTGTTGCCCTTTGTTCCATTAAAATATCCACTGCGGCCAATTCACGTAAAACAAGGATAGGTAACCGGATGCCTTCCTGATATTTTTTTTACTTCAATTCACATCAGCCCTAGCCCACATTGACAGTGACAAAGGATTGTAGAGGTTGCAATTCAAAAGCTACGGAGGACCCTAAGCTCCTTATTTTTTATATAAGCCATTTGTGAGCAGTATTGGCTTCCTCTATCAAATGTATTTATATGGACAATGTTACACATGAGCCAAGAAATCAAAGGAACAACTGTCAGGAATCCTATCACAGTGACATATGAAAACCTGCTACCATTTTGACAGGAATTGTTGCCAGCTACATTAATGAATTTTTTTATTTCATAATTTCATGTTTTATTTCACTTTGACTATGCAACTGTGTGCCTGACAATAATTCAGTCAGCAAAATAAGAGAAAAATAGTGCTTTGGCATTTCGATATGCAGCAATTTAAGCCAGATTTTTTTTCTATAATTATATGGGTACTATAGCAAATTCTCATTTTAACAGACTAATTGGGAGGATGGGATGACCATTACTCACAAACATGCATTAAATATTTGGTCCATTGCATCGAAGCCCACTAAATCAAGGTTTCACTATTTTCCTTCCCTAAGTGAAAAGACAGATAGAAATATGGTCGATTTGAAGTCAACTGCACTGAACTTGCTAAATTTGAAGTAGGCGGAAGTAGAAGAGTGGACTCTATATTTTTGCTGGGATAGTGGTAGTAAGAAATGAATTTCTCAATGCTGAGTTATGATTTTAAAAACCCAAGCTAATTAAAAAAAAATCTTAGCTAATTTCTATTCATTTTTTTTAAATGCAAGAACAAAAAAGAAAAAATAATCCACAAAGCACTAGTCCATTCTTCTACTTCAGAACTTGACCATTCCATCTCTATGCTGCCTATGAAGACAGACCTAATTTGTTTTCTATGCGTTATCTCAAATGCATTTAACTTATTTTAGTTCACCAATATATCCGCACGTCAACCATTTTCTCACAGTGTCAACATACATGAATTGTAATTCAAGCCAGTGCTAAATTGCATTCCCAGACAGAAGCTTATAAGAACATTTACAAATATTTAAAATTGAAAATGATACACTAGGGAGTAAAAAATAAAGTCTCTTCATAGTCAATCCCACTCCTGTTGACTTCAGACATTTCAATATAATTTTTTAGCAACATTATAGAAGTAGTTCACCAGTTTGCTCTTTTGGGATATGGAAGAAAAGGGAAAATCATATTGCTTCCTCCATCATCTTTAGATGTCAATCCACTAACCGCTTTTAAAACGAAGTTTTGCTGGACTTAATAATGTCTTTTTCTGAGTGACACATACGAGACTGAACTATTGAAAACATACATATCTTTCCTTCCTAACAGCAAGCAATAAGGCAAGAGAAATTACATAAACCTACCGCAATTATTTCTTCTACTTTATTAAGAGTTAATTCAGCATCATCTTCTGTTATTGTTTCTTCTTCTAGTTCCTCAGTAGGATAGGTAGGCCTTAAAAGATAAATGCAGTTCTTTGAGACTTACAATGATACAATAATATTTGTTTTGAATTTTAAGATATAGCCCTTTTGAAAATATAGATTTGCATTTATTTGATATGGAAAATTTTCACTATATCTTTCCATAATTAGTAAAATGATGACTGGATACAATTCCAGTCAAATGACGCAAATAAAATTGTAATTAACTTTTTCAAATGCTTATCCCATAATGCATGTATGCATATATAATAAATATAAGTGCTAACTTTTAGAAGGTCTAAAATGAATAAAACTTGGAGTGTCTTTGGTTATACAGTATATTATATAAGCAGCCATGCTTGTGCAAAAGAGCTTTTCCTCCTCTCTCTGCAGTCCTCCTTCATTTTTTGCTTACAATCAAATCAATGTAAAGAAATATATTTTATTGAGTTGACAACACTTAGCACTTACAAATATTATATTAAAATTCCCCAAATTTTTAATTTGTATGAATAGGAGTTTTCAACTAAACAGTTTCTGATAATACCAGTCAATGTAGTCATAAATAAATCATGGACTCTGGTTTTAAATCAGATCCATTTCAAAATGTAAGACAATTAATAAGTGGCAGAGGACTCCATCATAGTATACTCTCAATAACCGTTATACAAAATAGCAAAACAAAAATAAATTGCAATTAGTAAATGTGAACATTGAAATTATTTCATATATTTATTGCTAAAATTTCCATCAATATATTTGCAAAAAGAGGGCAAAAAAGGAAAAAAGTGTTAAGATGATGTACATGAAGAGAAAGCCCACTTAAAATCATTTACTGAAAAGAAATGTGCAGAACTAATTATTCACTTAGTTTTATTTCCCAAATATGGCATTGGCAAATTTCCTGAAGAAATCACATTGCTGCTGCAGCTCACTAATCTTTTAGAAAGAAAGTGATTAGTTTTATTCTTCCAGTAGGGAATGATATTTGCACAAAAGTCAGTATCTGTCAGTGTTCATTTGCCTTCAAGACTATTTTGTTCCAAGCTTCTGCTATCATAGGGGCCGGTAACGTCACTTATGGAATAAATCTACAGTCTACAATACAGAATGCTGTAGCCTTTTATCAGGCCCAGACTCAACACATTCAAGCATGATTCATTAGAAAATAGTATTTCGTTGGTAATATTATACTTGCAAATCTTTCAACCAACCTACTACATCAATCCTGAGCTGGCAGCTGGGGGAGAAGAAAGGTTGAGCCTCTGGTTTGTCCAGCGTGAGGTACCAGCAGGCTAAACCCTTTCCTCATACGATTTAGTATCTATATGAAACCACTGGGAGACAAAATCCGTTTTTGAGATGAGGTAGCATAAATAGAATACTATAAATAGGCTGATGATAGTAAGCTGTACTTTGCCATCTCAGGCCAGGCCTAATATGCTATAGAGGTCCTGGTTCAGCATCTGGAGGTTGTGAGGGAATGGATGGGCCAAAACAAGCTTAGACTAAACCCTAGCACAATAGGAGTACTGTCTATGATCACCTGTGCTGTCCAGAAACAATAGTTTCAGTGATAGCACTAGACAGGACTATACTTTCACTTGAAGAACCAGGTCCATGAGTTGAGGATATGCCTGGATTTGCAGATCCTGCAAACAGCTTGTAGCTTTGACTGGTACATCATTTGCAGCACTACTTTGATCAGCAAACCCTAATAGCAGTGACCCAAGCCATCATCATCTCACAACTTGACTACTACATCATGCTATATGTAGGCCTGCCTTTGAGGACCACTCAGAAGTTACAAGTAGCATACAGTTCTGCAGCCAGGCAGCAGCCAGATTAGACTCACTATTGCAGTATAACACATTTTCTTTGGTTGTTGCACTAATAACCATTATGCTTAATCCTAATCCTAAATGCTGGTTATTACTAAAAAGCCTTTTATAAATAAAATTTTTATTTGTTTGTTTATATAACACACATCCTACTAGTGTGTGATCCAAACTAAAAACTGTTAAAATTACACAAAATATCAATATACATCATGATATTTTACAGCCATAGTAAAATAACACTCCTACAACTATAATATCCTAAACCTATAAACCTGATACCCCTGTTTAATAAGATTTAAAACAAAACAGCCCTAACATCTCACTTTACTAACTTCCATTCTCAACACTTGATAATAGCTTCCACCATGCAATCTGCTGCATTATGGCATGGCTCCTAGTTATATAAGGGACTGACTTCTCCAAAATGACAGTTGTCAGGTCATCTAGAGAAGGTCTGCTCAAAGTCCTGTTCCTTTAGGAGTTCAGGGATTCATGACTCAGCAGACGGGCCTTCTTGATAGTGATGATCACTTTGGATCATCTTATTGCTAGAGATGTACCTAGCCTCCTTGTTACTGATATTTTGCAAGGCTGTGAAAACAATTTTATTCAGGTGCACTTTCAAAGCTTAACAATGACAGGGTTATAGCTATCTCTTATTTTCTGTTTTAGATGGATTTTCGGAAGGGGAGGAGTTATTTTACTCTGTATTGGGGATCTTTTACAGTATTAATGGTATTTATCTTTCTGTAAACTATCCAAAATTTGCCTACATGGGCAGTATAAAATTTTATTGTTTCAGTATACTGAAACAATAAAATGCAATAATTATACATAGTTTATTCTGAACCACTAAAAAGGGAATAGGATTAAAGGGTGGCAACAATTCATACAATCACAGAGAAGTGAAACCTATGATCAGGTGTTTCTTAACTTCATTACTCAACAACTCCAACCAGTACAACCATTTATGACAGAGGCTAAGAGCTGTAGTTCAGCAGCTAGAGATCTTCAAAGAGTGGATAGTCATATGTCAGACATGCTTAGTGCATCCTGCTCTGAGCAGGCAATAAAACTAAATGACCTTTAAAACCTCTTCAAATTCTATGATTCTATTATTCTAACACCTGGAGGGCCAAAATTTCCCCATCTCTGCTCTCTATAGTAGCTAAAATGTATATAAAACTAAGAAAAATGGACAATAGCTATTTTTTGTGGGAAGAACATTCCAACTCCACAGTATCAAAACAAAAACCAAATCAAAACACAGCATATACACAATACAAAAGCCTTTCCCAAGTTGGTTCAGCAAGTTGACAATAAAAGCCTAACAGAGAAGACCACCTGGATCATCCTACACAAATGAATAACAACAGTACTATCTGTATCACAACATAATATGTATCTGACCTGTTTGTACAGTTCCAGCTTTTTCATTTTATACATCTAACACAAGAGGAAGCAGACAAGATATTATACCTTTTCCAGCTAAAGGATGTGTATTTCAAGGCTTCTTCTGCCAAACAATCAAGAACATAGCATGCTTGTTCTCCATAACCAGCCTTTAACTTTGAGGGAGGAAAATCCACAGTTCTTCCCTGAAAAAGAAATAAACTTTCATTAACAGAGACAAAGCAGCATTAAGTCAAATAATATTGTCTACCTTATCTAAAGTCCTTGTTTGTCATAAGAAACACTCTGCACATGTGAGTCACCAAACACCATCAATCTGGCATAAGAGCCTGATTACTTGAGGAATCACCTGTCTCCCATAACATCTGTCTGGCTGATTTGATTTTGCTGGTTGGCTGATTCAATTAAATCTTTAATCAGGTTCCTTCAATTAAACAATGTCAAGTATGAGGACCCCAGAAGCATACCTTCCCTTTAGCAGTGCCTGCCCTCTAGAATGAGATTCTCCCTGAGATGTGGATGGTCCCCACTCTGCTATTGTTTAGAAGAGCTGTGAGATTTGGATCTGACCTGTTTGTATTGTTCCAGCTTTATTTTATACAATTAGCACAAGAGGAAACAGACAAGGTATTATACCTCCTTGCTTCATTTCCATCCAGTTTGTAGTTTTTGCCATCTTTTATCTTTTATTCTTCCTTTTAATTGGTTTTATTGTAATTTCTTTGACTGTTGTGAGCCACTAAAAGTTGTTGAGAGTTTAATAATAAAATAAATATGCAACTTACATCAATTCAAATTCAGCACTTTTCAATGGAGTTAATTTATACATTCAGCTGCAAATAGCAAATCATAGGAATTCAGCCCAATGTGCAAACTAATCAAGTAAATGCACAAAGCAAAGTCATGATTATTACAATCATTATCCATACTGTTTTATTTTTGTTTTCTAACTGGATACACTATTCTAAAATGAAGGAGATAACCAAAGTATATCACATGTTTATGTCAGCTTTCTAGACATCTTTCATGGCAATAGAGCACAACCATATTAATATTGCTTATTCTGTGGCATTTTTACCTTACAAGTTATTGATATAACCGTTTCTTCAAACCAGGAAGATATATACATACACACAATATGTGCCAGCACTCAGTCTTAATTCATATATCACATCAAACCATACTTAGGGAAATTTAGCCATGATTTGATATGGAGTCAAAATGGAAAAATCAGGCTTTTACTTTCAAATCAAAATTAAAAATTGTGACTTTTTAACTGGGTTTGCAAAATGGATTAAAACTGTTATCACTCTGTCAAGAGAAGAGCATATAGACAGAGAGAGAGAGACTGCTGTACTATGTAGGCAGGAAGTAACTGATGAATCTGAACAGGCAGAAAATAAAAAGATACTGATACAGTAGCTACTTGTATACTTGTAAGCTCAAGCCTTAAATTCTGTGTTACGATTGGTGCAGAAAAAAATTAGATGCAGGTCGTTTAAATACGAAGTTGTGTCTGCTTAAGCTTAGTTTCTAAGGATAAATAATATTATGAGAATGAAACTAAATAATTCAGAATTAGATCTGATCTCCAGACTGGCCCCTGGTTTTCCCCTCTGAGATATCCAACCTTACTTTGCAACTGGAAAATAGTAAAGCAATTAGAATAGACTTGGATTCAACTGATATATTATACATTCTGACTTGCAGGTTCCAGTACTAGCATCTTTATTCACTCATACTGATCATTCCTTACAAATTTCCAAGGACTGGAATCAGTCAATTACAGTGCTAATTTACAAGAAGGGAGATAAACGATCTGGTGAATTTCACCCAATTAGTCTCTAATTAAGAACAGTACATTATACACCAGTCATACATATTAGAAACTGGTGGATTGGCTGGTACAGGACAATCTACTGGTTGAGTAAACTGGGTTTACAGAGGAATGCATAAAACATTTGATTAGTGCATTATTTTGCACCACCTTGCTAAAAAGTGCTTTAATTGCCCTCATGGTTTTCCTTCCACTTTTATTGATCTACAGACATTAACTCAATCCTGAGATATGAGGCTATCAGTTTTGCCCATAGCTTTTCCATTGACTTTCAATTACTATAGGTAATCCTTGCTTAATGACTACCCTATTTAGTGACTGTTCAAAGTTACAATGGCACTGAAAAAGTAACTTTACAACCAGTCCTTGCACTTATGACCATTGCAGGGTCCCTGCAGTCACACGTTCAAAATTTGGGCATTTTGCAACCTGCAGGCATTTACAACTGTCACAGCTTCCTGCAGTCACGTGATCACCATTTGCACGCTTCACAGCTGGCTTCCGACAAGCAGTCAATGGAGAAGCCAGCAGTAAAACTGCAAGTCACAGTCATGTGATGTCTCACTTAATGGCTGAGTTGCTTAGCAACAGCATTGCTAGTTCCAATTGGGGTCATTAAGCAAAGACTACCTGAACTTCTAATTACAAGATGGCAGGAAAATACTTGAATTCAGGCTAGATATTGTACCCTAGGATGCCTTTCTGCCTCAACTTCTATTCAAAGAGGGACAAGATGGTATCCTGGGTCCCCAGTTTCTCAACATTTACATCAATTCTACAGTCCAAGCTTTGAAAAAAAAAAAAATTTAATTGCACAAATTATGCCAAATAAACCTGTTTTAATACTTCTACAATTTAAATAGATCTAAACCAGAACATTTGAGCTCTTGCTTTGTATTGCTGATATGAAAGACTTATCAACAATTATGCTAAAACAGAAATAGTAAGAGACATGCAAGTCACAGATATTGATAGGAGATCAGTGATACCCGCACAGAACAAATTATGGCATTTAAATGTTGGGAATTACTTTATAATGGTGGGCTGCTTGGACAGAACAAATAAGAACCACTATTGACTCCTAATGCTATTTTGCAAGCAATAGAAGTGGTAGCTATGTTTTCTGCTCTAAATTTTTAAGCCTTAGGTGATTAGCTACCTGTTGTATGGCTCACTGATTTGCAATTATAAAGTTCTAAGACCTTGAGAAACAGTATTGTCTATATTTCTAAAAGTCACGCTCCAAATTCCTCAGAGTTTCCAGTTCATTACTGTGCCTGTAATCTCGGCTAGCTACTTTAGAGGCTTGTATGCAGCAATGTCAGCTAAAACTCTGGCTAAAATTGATTTTCAGCAACGGGTCCCTTGCCTCTTTAGTTTTTTTGGACAACTTTCTAGTGACCTACAAGAATGGCACTGAATAAGATCTAAGATATTATAGACTCTCAGCCCAGTATCAGACTTCGGTGGGCTTTGAGAAAGCAATAAAGGAGTTGAGGTAATGTGTATTCCTTATTGATAATCAGAAAAGATCTGAGTGTACCATTTATTATGGTGGCAGTTTTGTCTGGAACATTTTTCACTTCAGTTAATTATCTAGTTAACATTCTGTATTCACCTCACTAAAGAGCCTTTTTTTTTTTTTTTGCCAGATGTAATGCTTTGACATTGCAATGCAAGAGCATTTATGTCCATGCCTAGTGGGGGAAAACTAAGACAATTATTCATACATTATTGTGCTGCCCATTCTATGTGGCCTGGTATACATATTTAGAAACACCTCTCTTAACCAATCACTTTAATAGGTTGAATGAGAAGCATATTCTCCATTTACTAACAGATCTAACTCTAGTCATCTCTAGAACAAGTGCTAAATTCTGTTCTATAGTTATTGCCATTTTGGAAGGTGGAAGCATTACAAACTTATTTATATATCTTATAATTACATTAAAGATTTAGTTTAGTTTGAAAATGTTATTTTCCTTTTGCATTATGTATAATATGTAATTACCAACAGATCTTTGATCATAAATAAAATGTATACAAGGTCAATACTTCTATAACTTTCTTAAAGTCTAATGTGAGTAAAGCATGATTATGCAGCATCAAGTTGGAGTCAGCTCTTACTGACAACATAGATTTTCTCCAAGACAATCTGTCCTCAACCTGGTCCTTTCAATGGTGCACCCATCACCGCTGTAATTGAGTCCATCTACCTTGTTACTGGTCATCCCCTTCTTCTCTTTCCTTCCATTTTTCCCAGCATTACAGACTTCTCCAGAGAGCTAGGTCTTTGTATAATGTGTCCAAGGTAGGATAATCTGAATCTGGTCATTTGTGCTTTGAGTAAGAATTCTGGGTTGATTTGTTTCATGATCCATTTGTTTTCTTGGCTATTCATGGTATTCTCAGGAGTCTTCTCCAACACCAAAGATGTTGTTGTTGTTATTATTCAAAATAATTTTGACATTCAAAATTTCAAAAAATTCAAAAATGTCAATATGCTTTATATACTGCTTTTTCAAAATGCAACTTTTGCTTCCATCACAATGGGAAAGCCATTGCCTGCACTATTTTGATCTTTGTAGATATAGACACATCATGGCATCTAAATATCTTTTTCAAGGTTTTCATTAGTATTCTACCAAGTACTAGTCTATGGCATATTTCTGGACTGATGGCTCCTTTAGCTGTTGACAGTCAATCCTAAAAAGCAGAGGCTATCCACTATTTCAATATCTTCATTGTCAATTCTACAGCTGGTTGCTACTGTTGTCATAAATTTGATCTTCTTTACATATAATATTAGTCCCTTTATCTTCATTGTGCTTCTTGACTTTCATTACTAGTGTTTGCAGATCATTTGCATTTTCAGTTATCAGTATTATCAGCATACTGCAGGTTACTGACCTTCTTCCTACAATTCCGAACCATGTTCATCTTCTTCCAAGACAACTTCTCTCAATATACAGGTTGAATAAATAAAGGGACAGTTTACGGTCTCACTACTTTGCCAACTGGGCCCATTCTGTTTCACCATGTTCTGGCTGGACTCTGGCTTCCTGATCTGTGTATAGGATTCACATGAGGACAATGAGTTGTTCTGGGATTCCAGAACATTTTTCTAAGCACATTTCCCAGCTTGACATGACTGACACAATCAAAGGTGTTTCTATAATCAGTGAGGCACATACTGACTTCTTCTTGGTATGTGGCTTTCTCAATCATCCAATCAAACTTGAGTCCTGGTGATTTCATCAACATGCCCATATAGTTTTACTGGTCACTGCCTTTTCCTGGGATTTTTAATGTATTTATTTACTTTCCAGTTTAGCCTACAGCCTTGGTAGTCTCCTATCCCAGTACTAATCAAGTCCAATCTACTTAGCTTTCAAGGTCAGCTAGCTGTTAAGCTATAATAAACTCTGATACCTTACCACTACCCTAGATAGTCACTCATTCTTTCTTAAGTCAATATAACTTTGCTAAAAAGTAAAATAACTACTGTATTTGCAGTCTACAAAATTATTAGGAATGATCAAAACAATTTAGAGATGGTAAACCAAATAAATTACTTACAAAGGACCGCAGCTCTGCAAGTATGCTAGATATTGTTGCATTTGGGTCATCATATTCTTGTGGTTGTTCAAAAGGATGCCCTGCCTTATTAATCAGCCAAGCAGCAAGGGTACAAAACATGTAGAACTGTTCACCTGGGTTAATAGGCAATGCAAAGTAATGCCTGTTTTAAAAGAAAAAGGAGCAGAGATTAGTCTGCCTATATTGAAATTTCTTGTTCTAAAAGCTAGGAAAACTTCTCTGTGTTTGTACAATCATTTATGTCCTCAACACTTCTTTTTCTAAGGGTACTATATTTCATTGACAGGCAATTTTCTTAATATATATGCTCTTTTTTTTTTTTTTTTTGCAGTACTTTCAGAATGTTATGTCACAACTGGTCATGCCTTCTATTGCATATGTATACCTTACAGAAAATAATGTAAGTCAAAGCTTGTAAAAGCAGTTCTCAGATTTATTTACTATATTTTTGTATTGCCATACTATACAGTGACTCATGGCAGTAGCTCTGGACAAAAGATATGACGTTATTGAACAGATTATAAAATGTATTATTATCTGATCTTCTGTGGAAGCATCCAGTATACAATACAAACACAAATGGCTTCATACGATGAAAAAAGATAAACCTAATTTATCATTACTGATACAAATAAGAACTGTTATAATAAGACCTGAGAAAATATATATCTATTTTAATATACTATTACATAGTATATTTAATATACTGGTATATTATAACTATAACTGAAAACAGCTTTTCAATTACATATATCTTCATGATCAACAAACATTCATTTACTTAAAGCAGTTTTTAACAAGATCTTTTGTGATGCCCAATCAGCAGGTTAACAGTTATTCTAAGTTCATCTCTATTTCACCTCTCTGTTTGGGTTCTGTGGTTTGCTGATTGCTTTAATATTAGGGTCTTAATACTAGAAAATAATTGGATCTAAACAGAGTTTAGATTTGTTAGAGTAGAAAATAGTAAGTTTAAAAACAAATCTGAGTTCTCAAACAGATTGATTTGAATTCTTTCAGAAGAAGCTTCTCTGAAAACAGTTCCAAAATATCTATTATCTGTGTTATATTTCTGACAGATATTCATACAATATAGGAAGTTATATAGGAAGTGGAATTAGAATGCTCAAAATTGGGGTTATTTCTCCTTTTTTTTATTCCTTGACATTACATTAATAATCTGTCATTTCACATTAAGCATATTAATACTATACCTAAGAAAAATGATTTTGCGCATTATTTTTATAATGTTATCTTATTCTGTGTCATAGTACTTTTTATTAGGTCTATACTACTTGAATGTGATTTTTCCACCTGTATGTACCCATTAATCTATGCTCATATATTCTGATTGTCTTAAATATGTAACAAAATTGGATATAACTTTGTGATTTAAGAATATGGAAAACTCTTTAAAAATTGTACAGTTTATAAAAAGTAATCAATGTTAAATATATTTGGACATTTAAAAACACTGTATTGTCAGCTTTCTATATTGCTGAAAGAAATCAGAATGGCAAAATACATACGAATTGTGAATGAGGGCTATTTCCAGATGAATGTTAGGAAAAACTTCCTAATACTTTCATAGTGGAACCAATTACTCAGGAAAATGATGGGCTTTGCTTCATTGGATGCAGAAAGTCTGGACAGCCATCTGTTGGAAATGTTTTAATTTCAATTCCTATGTTGTAAAAGGGATTGAACTACAGACCAAAATGCAGGTCAAGACACAAACATATGCATCCTACTCAAGTAAACCTGACAAAATTTATGGGGCTTATTTCTAAGTAAGCATGTACTGTATATGACTGCATTCTGAGACTACTGCATGAATATTCCATGAATATGAAGCCTAGAAACATTTTTTTCTACCAAGTTACAAAAAATATGACTGGAAACCCTGTTGACCGCATATAAACAATATACACCATAAATAAATTTCACTTGCATGACAAAAATATAGTCACTGACTTGGTAGAAAGTTTTATTGACAGCATTTAAATTATTATTACCATGATGTCCCAACAAGAAAAACTGCAGAAGCAAACCAAGTTTATATACATTTTTATTGTTTTTCCCTATAGATGGGAAAGTATTATAATTGAAAGAAAAAATATTAAGTATTCATTGTATTTAAAAGATAGATTTAATGCATACTAAAGTCAGAGCTTCAATGATAAAAATGTCTTGAAATGTGGCACCTTATTCATGTATTCATGGTACAGTCTTAAACTTACAGCTACACACCTGGGCACATATTTTAGAAGTATATAATCATAGCCACAGTCTGGCACTTTTTATAACGCGAGATAATATCCCCATGGTCCATTATTAGAGTTATCTACTAGTAACATAGCATTTAACCAAAATGCTATATAACCCTAAATAAAAAATCAAAAGTTACCAAGAATTCCACAATTTAGGGTACATGTAGGGAAATCAGAAAAAACAAACAAACAAACAAAAAACCAGGCTAGGTATATTTCTAGTGTAAAATTAAAATGAATATGTGACTTCTCAAAAATAACACTAATAGAGTAGCATTCTTCATATGTAAGACATTTGCCTGATGCATGCCTATCCTCTGGTCTTAACTCAATAGAAAAGGTTGCATGGATTTAGATCACCAGATCTATATGAAACACATTTCTAAAAAATTCTCATTTACTCTTACTTAAAGTGCTTTACGATTAGTTTCCCATTTTACAATGAGTCTGGAAGAAAAAGTTCAATCCCAAAGAACTTTATCTATTGAATCACAATAACTTATTCTGTTCCTTGATTTGAGCTTGTAAGGAAATATCTCTAGGAAAACTTTCTTTGCAATAAACAATGCCTGTCACATGTCTAATACTGTACTGTATTTTTGAAACCTTATAAATAAAACAAGGAAGAAATCACCAACTCTTCCAGCACAATCTCATGCAAGTTTCCTCAGTAGCCATAAATTCTAACTGGTTTAACAAAATTAACTCTCAAGTTGCCTAATTTGCAAGGTATAGAGATATAGCACATAATATTAGTGTAAACTAGTTTTTATTATGTTTCCTTTTCTTTTCAGGCATTTATTTATTTATTTATTTATTTATTTATTGACTTAGTATTTCTTGCTCCTTTTCTGCACTTTGCCTAACACTGCTTATCCTGAAACACAATAGTATGATGCATAAGTATGTAAGTTTCCTAATTTTTCTTAACTCTACACAGAAACAGGCTTGCGTGCACTGAAAGGTGCCTGATTTTACTCAATAACAAATCTCAGTCCAATGCAAGGTCTCAGTTCAAAATCATTATACATTGAACTCCAACACAAAACACTTCGGTTTCCAAGGAGCCTTTCTCAAGAACAACTCGAATGTTCTCTGCTGTCTGACAGTCCTGGGGCTCGTTCACACACACGGTAACTCCAATATCAACCCCCAAACTTTACAGGCAAAAGCCCAATACACACTCGTCAACTGTACATTAAATGCACACATGCGAACTAGTCTTTCATCCAAAAGCCCCTGAAACTGTTATTGGCTGGGATCAGGCTATTTATTCTTCCAAGCTGGAAAAAGTGGGACTCATCCTCTACTACACTCCACCCCCCCCGAAAATTAAAGAGCAAGGCCTACTCGCTTGCCTTACCGGGAAGGCGGTCTCATGTTGTGGCTCCGCAACGCTGCCTCTTCCTCGTAGTTGAGTAGCTTCAACTTCTCCAGCAGATCCTCCATCATGACAAACATGTGATACAGCGCCCCCGGCCCGCGCTCCACCACTGCTGGTTCCCCGGTCGCATCCCCTTCCTCGGCGGCCGCCATGACACCACTCAACCGCAGCTTCTCGCTTCCAAGTTGCCAGCACAACGCGACAAGCACCAAGGCCGTCCGCGTCACCGGGGAAACAAGCCCCGCCTGCTCGAACACTCGCCCGCCAATCCCTTCTTAACCCGAGCAGTTCTTCCGTGATGGGGTCGAACCAATCGACTCCGCCCGAAGTGATTCTTAGAGGCGTCTGTCTGGTAGGGCTGCCAGCTCTGGGCTGCGAAAAATCCGGTTCATCAGGAAACTTTAACTCTTTTTTGCCATGTAAGACTTTACCGAGTTTTCAGCTCTCCAATCGGACGACCGGTAGAAGGGAGCAAAGAGCAGTGAAGTGGGGGTGCGGAGAGGATGATGTTAGTTCTGATTTTTGTAGCCCAGATCTGGGTGCCTATGCCTTAGGGCTGTGCGATCTAAGCCCTCAGAGTTTATTCGGTGCACTGTGACTTACCTCCAAAATTGGGATATGAGTAAATCATGTTAATTCAACCATGCATAAGTATGTGGTGTAAACAGAATTGAAGAAAGGAACCAACAGATACTAATATTGGGTAGGATTAGGCATGGATCTTACATTTTGGGTATTTGTTAAACAGGACTTTGTGCACTAACATAACCAACGTTTGAGAACCCTGATGAGTTCTCATAATAACCAAGATGATGTCAAGGAAAGTCTTCAGAAAGGTCAATGCTATTGAGAGATAAACTGGCTAATACTTTGGTATTATACAGGCTGTGTTCACATAACAGCTGGACCTTTAAGAATGGTTACTAAACCACACCATTTGCATTCACAAAACTTTTGTAAAAATGGTGTAATGTGATAGTTTAGTTAACATAATACTGTAAAATAAGGTGTTTGGTTTTGGATTGTCCATTATACCTTGAAAATAATAGTTTTGGGATTAGTGTGTTGGGAGAACATAGCTATATTGTAGCTATCTTGATTAACAATCATCAATAGTCTTGTCCAACATGAAATTTTCTAATTAACCTTTTAAAAACCATCAAAGCAGGTGGCCCGTCTACATTTTGTGGAACCCATAGTTCAATTGCACACTCACTAGATCAGGTGAAGTAATGCATCATAGTTCAAACTACTGAACCTAATAACATACACATGCTAGGTCACAAAGAAGAAAGCCACATTCTGGCTTGATGTGATGTGTGAACAAATCCCTGATTCAGTTTGTGCGTTGGACATTCTTATATAGCATGCTTGGCTGTCACCTTCAACAAGTAACAGGCACTGTGTCATTTTTATATTCCCCCCACATAGATCCTTAACTGAGGCTTCATTCTAGGACTTTTGCACATCGTAGCCTTGAGCTGCTTGTCTCCTGCACTGGAATCTGGTTTAAGAAAGCCCTTTCTAGATTTCAGTCCCTTCTTCCACTATGGCCACAGTGATAGCCAGGTGTTTTATCTTGACCATGGTTAATAGAGCATCCAATGGGTGATTCCCCTGCTAAATAGAGGGCTGAACTAAATGACCAACAAGGTCCTATTCCCATTCATGACAGAAAAGCAAATGCTAATTGCTTTTCGTCCTGTGGGCATGTATTTTGAAGACTGGCAGGAAAACAAAATAACAGTTCTTTCTGCCATTTAGGTTACTGCCTTCTTTGAATCTCAAACAGCAACTTTCTTTAATCCAAATGCTTTAACTAACAGTGAATCTAAGATTCAGTATTTGAGTTAAAAGAATCTATAATGGCAGTCATTTAGGTGTCAAATGACAGTAAGTCTAAAATTTCAGTTACAGAGCAGCATCCAATGGGTTGAAAACAGTTCAAGCACCAAAAGCCTACACTGATTTGTTTTACAAATATAACATCCCAGTAGTGTTCCTCTGGAACTTTCTATCATAGTAGGATAGGATGCATAATTGGAAGGGGATCTTGTGGGTCATCTAGTTCAGCCCTCTGTTTAGTACAGGAATCCACTAAACCATCTTTGAAAGGAGGCCATCTAGTCCTTGTTTGAAAACCTCCAGAGTGGGGAATCCACCACTGTTCTAGGTAGACTGTTCTAATGCTAAACAGCTATTATTGTCAAAAATTTCTTAATAGTCAACCTGACTCTTCTTTCAGTTTCACCCCATTGAGCCTTGTCCCACTGCGGTTTCAACAGAGAACAGGGCCACCCCTTCCTGCACATGACAACATGTTAGATATTTCTAGACCACCTCAATATCTTTGGGTCTTCTTTTTTTTTGCAAGCTAAGCATAGCCAGTTCCTTTAACAATTCTCATTTCTCATAACTGCTTAGCTTCCACACCTCTTACCAAGCTATTCCTATAAACTTGCAGTGGCTACTCCATATCAGGAACTGGACATAGTTCTATGTGGTCCATAGTACAATAGAACTAGATTCAATCCCGTGCTTCGGTTAAGGCAGACTGAGATTTTACTGACCATTTTGCTTGACCATTGCTGGTCTACTTCTACTTCCTTTCCATGTGCATTACTGCCAAATCAAGTATCCTCAGTCCTGTGTCTATACATTTGATTTTTCCTATCCAGAATTAGAGAACACTAACCCAAAGAAAGTGTGCAGCAGTTTTTGTGTTCTCTGTATACCATTATTACTTCCCTGCCTTTTCCATGCAACTGTGAGGGGATGATGCTGCCTAAACCAGTAAATGAACATCAAAAACTCTCTTAGTTTATAAGGGAGGAAGAAAGAGATATAAGATTTAAACTCTGGACCTGTTCAGGGAAGGATTGCTATAACCTGTTCATAGAGAGAGGGATGGATTGCTATATTCTGTAGTAACTGATACTTTTCTTAATTACACCTTCTTGTATCTTCAATTAAAGTAACTTATCCATCTGATCCTTGTTCTTGACTCTCCCATGACTAGCTCCTGAATACTGGTTGAGGCTCTTGAGAGAGAGAGATTGCTCTGCCATGGGCAAATCTCTAACAATAGCAGACCAACAATCTCTGTGATTCATGATGATGATGATGATGATGATGGATGTACCTCCCCAATGTACTGCTATTATAATTTGCATTCTTTGGCAACCTCAGCTCATTCTCAGCTTTACCTCCTCCCCCCCCCCCAACCCAACTTCATCCCTACAGGCTAGCTTTCCTTCTTAGTTATCAGCCTCTGCTTCCATTTCCTGTACATCTCCTTTTTCGTTCTTAGTTTGTTCAGTGAGCTCTCTATTCATCCATTCCAATTAGGGCTGTGCAAATTGTTTAGAAAAAGTGCTTTTCAATATATACGTAAAACTGGCTATGAAGCGTGTCTCTTCAAATCAACAAGAAGCCATATCTGTTTCTACTTCTTTTTTACTTTGCCAAGGGAAGTAAACTGATTGTGCACACACACCCAGGTGGAGACAGCCGGAAGCAGCTTACCAAGAAGCCGTGAGAGCCCGGAAAGAGATGTGACTGCTTTCCTGATTTCAAATAAGTGCTTTGTAGGAGCTCCTGCATGTTGTGAAGCACTCCTTTTAAAGGATTTCCATAGCCCAATAGGCCTTTTACAGCTTTCCCCATATTTCCTTCTTATGTCCATACTTTCAGTATTTCATTTTTCATTTTCTTTTGCTTATCTTTTAAGATTGCAAGTCCTGGTATGTTGCCCATATTTGTCTGAGTTCATTAAAAAGTGCCTTCTTGAAGTCCAAGATCTGTGACTGACTTGTCTCAACTTTTCCTCTCCCAGTTATCTTGAATGCCAGTATCATGTGGTCGCTCCCCCACAAGGTGCCTGACAACCTCAGGCCATCAACCAATTTCTCCCTGTTTTGTCAGGATTAAGTCCAGGATAGCATCTTTCTGAAACAATGCAAAGCTCTAACAGGCGGATTGGAATAAATTCCTCAATAGTAACACTTTGTTTCTGAGTCCTTATAAACATATGCTTTCAACAAGACTTCAGTATTCAGGGATATGAATTTCTTCACAGCTATTTGGTTTCTTTAATGCAGGCCATTTAGCCTCTCTTTTTGTTGGGTCTCCTTATCAAATAATAATCTCCAAATTCAAGTTCTAGATTCCAGTCATAATTCTCATCCCAACTAGTTTCCACAACTGTTGCATTCTTATATTAGGATTTCTAGTTCCACATATTCAGTGTATTGGAATACAGATGGAGACAGAAGATGTCACTGTTTATAGGTCTCCCTAATGCCATATATTAGGGGATTTCTGAGTAATCTTTCCTACCTCCTACCTCTTCATTTAATATGTATATCTATATTCCTAATGTGCAGCACTTTTCCACATGAATCTATGCCTCTGTGTCTGTCAGGCCTTTGAGCTACACCAGATCAGGAAACTGACTCCACAGGAAGACTAGAAGTATACTTTATTGAGATAGGCTATAAGTAACAGAATCTTGTAAGCCTGATTGTGCTTTACCTTCTCTCCCTCTTATATCCCCTTGGGTCAGGGAGAAACCAGCCCGTGTCTCTTCCTAACACTATATCCTTTCCCAGGGCTTAAGGGATGTTTCTGCCCTTGTTGTTTCTGTAATGGCTTCTGAATATTCCCTTCAAGGTCGTATCCATGTCTCCCTGCACCCTCCTTCCCTGTTCCAGTTTAATGTAAGGCCTTCCTGATAAAATTCATAAGTCCACTGCCAAACGTATTTTGTCATGCCCTTATGAAGTATAATCTATCCCTGCCTAAGGGCTGCCTACATAGCTGACATAGGCCATGGTTGAGAAATCAATTTTTCCCCACCAGTATCATATTCTTAGTTGTTCATTTCAGGATTCCACTTTATAATTGCTTGCAAGCCTCTGAAATATTTGTCCTCTCCTACCAAAGTAATTTGTGCCCTGGTGGATAAGTAGGAATGGCTAACAATCAATTAGTCTGATGAGTCTTGGCAATTTTTCTACCACATCCTGGATATGTGCACCAGGAAGACAGCAGACTTCTCTCATTAGCTGGGTGAGGTTAGTATGATAAAACTATCTCAAGAGATTGGAACTTGCTTTCTATAATCAGAATGTCACATCATTATGAGAAGCACTTAACAATGGATAATATCAAATACTTTTCAGCT